CACCCAGTCACATGACTGCCAAGCCACACACACACCCCACTCAGTCACATAGCCAGCAAGCCACTCCCACAAAGCAGGCCACACTTACAGAAGAGGTTCTAAAAATTTTTGAAACCCACCACTGCACAGGGATCTTACTAAACAGAAAGCTCTTACAGGTGAAAAAATGGTAATGATATATTAAAGTCATATGTTTTATTTAGTGGATTCCAGACACTGCTTAGCAGGAATACGCATTTAAACCACAAGGTCTCCATTTATAACAATTTAATAATGTTCCCCAAATTTCCATTTTAAACATATTTAGGCAGTACCATTTAATTATAGTCAGTTTAGTACACCTGCAGCTCTTCTCATCCATTACACGCAATGGTCCAGGTGAACTGAGATTACTTATTATTCATCTCCACAAATCATCCCTTATAGTTTCAGTGAAATGATGCACTTAAAAATTATTTAATGATTACAGGTACTTCTGTGCTCCTTCTGTCAGGTGAATCAAGGCAGCTTCCCAGCAATAATAAAGCAGGTGAACTATGCCAAAATAAATAGTAATGTGTCCTAAATATAGTTAAGAGAGAAGCACTAATTTCCGCATGGAATTTTAAGGTCCCATTGTGCTCACCTGAGCTGCTGGATTAGATCTTCTCCTTCTTTGATGACATTGAGAGTGGCATCCAGAGTAGCTGTTTGCTGCTGCTGGAACTGCTTTATGAGTTCTTGAACGGCATCTACGGAGTCAGCACAAACGTCTTCCAAGAGTTCCTTCTGCAGGTCTTCCATCCATGTCCACAGCTGGGAAATAGGGAAAGAAAGATATCAGAAGAGGCATAGGTGGGTGGGGGGGAGAGAACAGTGGGCAGGAAAGAATGGCGGTATTGATCTTAATCCTTTCAAATCAGCTCAAAGAGTATCCATCAAAGCACAACTTTATCTGACATTACAGCACTTAAGCCAGTGGTTCTCGAGCTTTTCTTCACCAGGAACCCTCTCTAAATACCTTTTGTATTTTGTATGAGGACCCAGATATGCTGATTCTGTAAACTGCTTAGAGAGTGCTGTAAAAGCACTATGAAGCAGTATATATGTCTAAGTGCTATTGCTATTGGTATTTTGTACCCAAGGACCACCAAGAGTTATCTCAAGATTTAAATCATAACTTTTTTTCCTGGGATTCCGTGTGACGACATCATGGTCCCCACGGACCACAGGTTGAGAACCATTGACTTAAACCACTGCAATATTAAATAAAATGACCTGCAAAAGATTGGCCTCAAATAATTATATGGTATGAGTGTGCATATATAATGGTTGTCTTTTTTAAAATTTCATTTCAATGAAAGAGAAATAATACACAAGAGGAAAGAACAATGCAGTTCTATAACTACCAAAGGTAATAGAAATGCTAACAGCAATTAGACTTAGCAATTAGACTTATATACCGCTTCATAGGGCTTTCAGCCCTCTCTAAGCGGTTTACAGAGTCAGCATATTGCCCCCAACAACAATCTGGGTCCTCATTT